AAACTTCATCTCAAAAAAAAAAAAAAAGATATTTACGGCTAAGGGAACAAATTAATCATGTTTCCTAAACAGACCCAGACTTCAGAACATTCCTAATTTTGCTTTAAGGATATAACATCGATTCCTGCAAAATATAGTAATTAAGAAAAGTAATCCTTTATCACAAACCCTTGTGGCAGAGCACATCTCCCCACACTTACAAGCATCGTACCTAGGGTGGTCCCGTTCCTCCTCTGACTTTTGGGAATGTCCTACCCTGTTTATCAGCAGCTGTCCTTTCACCACCTCACTTTCCTTTTTTTGTTGAGACGGAGTTTTACTCTTGTTGCCCAAGCTGGAGTGCAATGGCATGATCTCTGCTCACTACAACCTCCACCTCCCGGGTTCAAGTGATTCTCCTGCCTCAGTCTCCACAGTAGCTGGGATTACAGGCATGTGCCACCATGCCCAACTAATTTTGTATTTTTAGTAGAGATGGGGTTTTTCCATGTTAGGCTGGTCTCAAACTGCCGACCTCAGGTGATCCACCCGCCTCAACTTCCCAAAGTGCTAGGATTATAGGCATGAGCCACGGCACCTGACCCACTTTACTTTCTTAATAAACTTGCTTTCACTCTGCACTGCAGACTTGCCCTGAATTCATACTTGCGCCGCAAGATCCAAGAACCCTTTCTTGGGGTCTGGATTGGGACCCCTTTTCTATAACACTAGGGGGAACCACCCTGAGGGAGATGTCCTGGGAAGAACTGTGTGGGGCAGGGACTATGGAGAGGGGATGCCCTGGCAGGGCCCAGTTACTACACTAACCTCGGGGCCCACAGCCACACACAATAAAATACCCACTGAAGCCCCCTCTGGGGCTCGCTCTCACACTGATGAGAAAAGAGGTAGCTCACAGCAGAGTCTGAACTATTCGGGATGTGCAGCTGAGTGAGACAAGTGTGGGGCCTCCGTCATCCCGTACTTCTGCAAACACGGCTGGGGACAATTGTTTCAGGACACTTTGTTCCAGACCAGCTGCATCACCCATTATCTCCATGTTCTTGGAATGTGTGACACAAAGAACAATGTAGGCCAAGTGCAGTAGCTCATGCCTGTAATCCCAGCTACTGAGGAGGCACAAGAATTGCTTGAGGTGGAGGGTACAGTGAACACTCCAGCCTGGGCAACAGAATGAGACTGTCTCAAAAAAAAAAAAAAAAAAAAAGAATAATGTATAGCCAATGTTATCTGTTTTTGTTTTTTGTTTGTTTGTTTTGAGACAGAGTCTCACTCTGTCGCCAGGTGCCTGGCAGGAGTGCAGTGGTGCGGTCTCCGCTCACTGCAACCTCCGCCTCCTGGGTTCAAACAATTCTCCTGCCTCAGCCTCCCGAGTAGCTGGGACTACAGGCGTGCACTACCATGCCCAGCTGATTTTTTTTGTATTTTTTAGTAGAGACGGGGTTTCACCATGTTGGCCAGGATTGTCTCAATCTCTTGACCTCGTGACCCACCCGCCTTGGCCTCCCAAACTGCTGGGATTACAGCTGTGAGCCACTGTGCCCAGCCTGTTTTTGTTTTTGAGACAGAGTCTCACTCTGTCGTCCACGCTGGAGTGCAATGGCACAATCTTGGCTCACGGCAACCTCCACCTCCCAGGTTCAAGCAATCCTCCAGCCTCACCCTCCCAAGTAGCTGAGATTACAGGTACAAGCAACCAGGCCTGGCTAATTTTTGTATTCTTAGTAGAGACAGGGTTTTGCCATGTTGGCCAGGCTGGTCTTGAACTCCTGACCTCAAGTGATCAGCTCGCCTCGGCCTCCCAAAGTGCTGGGATTACAGGCGTGAGCCACTACACCTAGCCACCTCTTTTCCTTTGAAAAACTACTGTAACTGTTGCCAATCAGGATGTATATTCAGGGCAACTTGAATCTCTGCTCCCAGGTTGCAGTGCTCAAGCTTGGCCCAAATAAACTCTCTACTTATGTTAATTTTGCCTCAGCAAAATTTCTTTTTGGTCAACATTCAGATGTGCGTTTGGCATTTCCATTTGACAAACTGGAGACTGTAGAGGCCAAAAGAAAACTTCCCCTCTGCTCTATAAAGATTCACAGAAAATCAACTGACAAAAGCCAGATTAATAAGACAAAAGGCATACAGATTTATTCATACACACAGTGAGAACCAGAGTGATGACCCCAACCTCCCAATGGGATTCAGAAGCTTATATACCATCTTGAGGTTAAAGAAAGAACGGGGACTCAAAGCATGGCCATAAACAGGTTATGGTGGAAAATCAGGTTACAGCGGCAAGACCAGTTACAGGAGGGAGAGGAGAGGAGGCCTGGCTGGCAAAGGTGGCCTTGTTCTATCGATGAAACCTCACAGGTAGCAGCCCTCAGAGAGAATGGATGAATGTTCCCTTCAGACCTTTAAAGGTGTCAGACTCTGTTACTCTTCTACATCAGGCAAGGGGAGGCCTCAGAGAAGGCCTAGCCTCATCAGTGTAGATTCTCGCTACAGATGCAAATCTCCCCCACAAAAGACAGCTTTTTAGCTATTCTATTTCCAGTCCTTCTGAGTAACTGTCTTCAGCCATGTCAAGGAAATACTTTGTTTGTTTTGAGGCAGGGTCGCACTGTGTTGCCCAGGCTGGAGTGCAATGGCACAATCTCAGCTCACTGCAACTTCTGCCTCCTGGGTTCAAGCGATTCTCCTGCCTCAGCCTCCTGCGTAGCTGGGATTACAAGGTGCACCACCATGTCTGGCTAATTTTTGTATTTTTGGTAGAGATGGGGTCTCATCGTGTTGACCAGGATGGTCTTGAACTCCTGACCTCAGGTGATCTGCCCACCACGGCCTCCCAGAGTGCTGGGATTACAGGTGTAAGCCATGGAGCCTGGTCATGGAAATACATTTTGGGGCAAAATATTTTGGTTTTCTTCAGTCCCCACTCTGAGACTTTACTTTCAGAAAGTTTCCCATAGGAAAAGGAAAGTTCACAGCTTTGAAGAGATTTGAGTTACAGATTGTTAGATGACAGATAGGCAAAGGTGGGGAAAAAGAAATTGGGATAAGCAGAAAAGGACAAATTTAAATTCCATCCCGGCAGGGCACTGTGGTTTATAGCTGTAATCTCAGCACTTTGGGAGGCTGAAGCAGGAGGATCACTTGAGCCCAGGTGTTCAGACCAGCCTGGTCAATGCAAGGAGACCCTATTGCTACAAAAAATAAAAAAATTAGCCAGGCATGGTAGTATGTGCCTGTGGTCCCACCTACTTGGGAGGCTGATGCAGAAGGATGACCTGGGCCCAGGAAGTCAAGGCTGCAGAGAGCTGTGATCGTACCACTTCCTGGGTAACTGAGTGAGACCCTGTCTCTAAAAAAAATATAGATGTATCATGCTGTATTTTCTTGAATCAGTCTCTTAGTCCTGAGACTAGATCAACTCAGTTAAACAGCTGTGTCCCATTCCAAGCTGCGGCACTGCAGATGGGCTGGGACTTTGTATATAATTCACACAAACAGATCTTTAACAAGAGACAATTCTATGGAAACAGAAGGAAAAAAAAAAAAAGGTGAATATCTGGAATCATCCGTAGACTAGCTTTTCCAGCTTGCCTCAATCCGAAGCATCTGGAGCATCTTCAGATTGAAATGGCAATCTGACAGATTTTCCTGGATCATAGTTCTAACGGGGTGTTCAAGTGAACTTTCTAAGTAGTCCATATATCAACAGGAACGAAGGCTGTTTATACATAAGTTCCTGTGACGATTTCTCCTTAAGTTTTTAAGTCCTCTGGCTTCAGTTGCAGGGCTTCAGGAAAAGCTGTTTTAATTTCCAAAGATTTTAAATCAGAAAAATGGGAGAAAAATTTGAAAGTATTAGTTTAGAGACTTGGAGCTAGGAAAGAATGCAGGATTCAGTCCAAACTATAGGCAAATGATAACTCAAAAACAACAGTCAGTCCAGAATCCAATAACAGGTGCACTATAGTTTTCTTCTAAAACACAATTTTTCTCCCTCCAGTCCCCCTTCTCTACAAGATACATCATAGTAAGACCAACAGATTTGCAAAATAAGTTTTAGTCTTATTATTATAATTGGCCTTATTATTTGCATAAAGTCCAGTAAGAACAGTGACTGGCCATACAGGATCTTTTAAAGTTGGCTTTGCCAGAACTTTTTCATAAGGAATCTCAGTTTATTGTGGCACTGTTCACAATAGCAAAGACTTGGAACCAACCCAAATGCCCATCAATGATAGACTGGATAAAGAAAATGTAGCACATGCCGGGCGCGGTGGCTCAAGCCTGTAATCCCAGCACTTTGGGAGGCCGAGGCGGGTGGATCACGAGGTCAAGAGATCGAGACCGTCCTGGTCAACATGGTGAAACCCCGTCTCTACTAAAACTACAAAAAATTAGCTGGGCATGGTGGTGCATGCCTGTAATCCCAGCTACTCAGGAGGCTGAGGCAGGAGAATTGCCTGAACCCAGGAGGCGGAGGTTGCGGTGAGCCGAGATTGTGCCATTGCACTCCAGCCTGGGTAATAAGAGCGAAACTCCGTCTCAAAAAAAAAAAAAAAAAGAAAATGTAGCACATATACACCATGGAATACTATGCACCCATAAAAAGGATGAGTTCATTTCCTTTGCAGGGACATGGATGAAACTGGAAACCACCATCATTCTCAGCAAACTGACACAAGAATAGAAAAACCAAACACTGCATGTTCTCACTCACAAGTGGGTGTTGAACAATGAGAACACATGGACACAGGGAGGGGAGCATCACACACCGGGGTCTGAGGAGCGGGGTGCTAGGGGAGGAATAGCAGGGGGTGGGAGGATTGGGGAGGAAGCATTAGGAGAAATACCTAATTGTAGATGATGGGGAAATGGATGCAGCAAACCACAACCATGGCACGTGTATACCTATGTAACAAACCTGCATGATCTACACATGTACCCCAGAACTTAAAGTATAATAAATAAATTTTTTTAAAAAAAGGAATCTCAGATTAGACTTTTTTTTTTTTTTGAGACAGAGTCTCGCTCTGTCGCTCAGGCTGGAGTGCAGCGGCTCAATGCAATCTCCACCTCCTAGGTTCAAGCGATTCTCCTGTCGTAGCCTCCTGATTAGCTGGGATTACAGGTGTCCGCCACCATGGCTGGCTAATTTTTTGTATTTTAGTAGAGACAGGGTTTCACTGTGTTGCCCAGGCTGGTGTCAAACTCCTGACCTCGTGATCCGCCCGCCTCACACTCCCAAAGTGCTAGGATTACAGGCGTGAGCCACTGTGTCCAGCCTCAAATTAGACTTTTAAAGGCATCTTGAGTCTAGGAAGCCAACCCAAGTATTTGCCATACCTGGTATTACAAGTATGTGTAATACCAGTATGAACTGGGTGAATTCCTCTTTCAGGTTCCAACATATCTTGTGGTTCCTGTGCCCACCACCAGGCCTGGCTAATTTTTTGTATTTTTAGTAGAGACCGGGTTTCACTATTTTGGCCAGGCTGTTCTCGAACTCCTGATTTCATGATCCGCCTGCCTTGGCCTCCCAAAGTGCTGGGATCACAGGCGTGAGCCACTGCACCCAGCAAAGTAACATTTTTTACCTACGGCAGGAACCTTGTAAGGGAACCATGTATACAGGTACCAGGCCAGTCTTTCCAAGGGGCTTTTTATTGGCTTTATAAAGAAATCTCAATTCTTCAAAGCAGTCTAATCATATCTGGTCAAAGCATTTGTAAAATAACCAGTGTCTCCAATTGTGTCCTGCTAAGGAAGAACATGGGTTTTTTTTTTTTTTTGATATGAAGTCTTGCTCTGTCTCCCAGGCTAGAGTGCAATGGCGCAGCAATCTCGGCTCACTGCAACCTTCATCTCCCAGGTTCAAGAGATTCTCCTGCCTCAGCCTCCTGGGTAGGTGGGATTACAGATGCCTGCCACTGCACCCAGCTAATTTTTATATTTTTTAGTAGAGATGGGGTTTTACCATGTTGGCCAGGCTGGTCTCAAACCCCTGACCTCTGGTGATCCACCCACCTTGGCCTCCCAAAGTGTTGGGATTACTGGCATGGGCCACCACACCTGGCCTTTTTTTTTTTTTTTTTAATTTTAAAAAAATATAGATGGGGTCTCACTATGTTGCCCAGGCTGGTCTTAAACTCCCATGCTCAAGCAATCTTCCAATCTCAGCCTCCCAAAGTGCTAGTATTACAGGCATGAGCCCCTACACCCAGCCAGAAAACAGATGCTTCTTGAATTTATGAAAATAACTATATTGCCACAAAATAGGAAAAACTCACAAATAGTTCCTGAATTTGGAGAAATCAGGTAAACAGAAAGGTAAATGTTTCCATTTTGCTCACAAAAGTATAATTTACCCAATTGCTATAAGCTATAACAGCTTAAAAGAAAAAATGTTTTCTTGACTCTGGAAACCAAACCACAAAAAGAATCAACAGGCCAGGTGCTGTGACTCACACCCGTAATCCCAACACTTTGGGAGGCCAAGACGGGCAGATCATGAGGTCAGGAGTACCAGACCGGCCTGGTCAACATAGCAAAACCCCATCTCTACTAAAAATACAAAAATTAGCCAGGTGTGGTGGTGCACACCGGTAATCTCAGCTACTCCGGAGGCTGAGGCAGGAGAATCACTTGAACCCAGGAGGCAGAGGCTGCAGTCAGCCGAGACCACATTATTGCAGTCCAGCCTGGGTGACAGAGTGAGACTCCATCTCAAAAGAAGAAAAAAAAAATCAACAATGCTTCAAACAGAGTCATAAAAAAAATTATTTCAGGCCGGGCACAGTGGCTCACGCCTGTAATCCCAACACCCTGGGAGTCCAAGGTAGGTGGATCATCTAAGGTCAGGAGTTCAAGACCAGCCTGGCCAACATGGCAAAATCCCCTCTCTACTAAAAATACAGAAATTAGTCAGGCATGGTGGCACACACACCTGTAATCCCAGCTACTTGGAAAACTGAGGCAGGAGAATTGCTCCAACCCAGGGGGCAGAGGTTGCAGTGAGCCAAGATAGCACCACTGCACTCCAGCCTGGGCAACAGAGTGAGACTCCATCTCAAATAATAATTATAATAATTTTAGTGCTGTGTCAGTTCAGTCCATATGATTAACTCTTGTTCTGCTTGATGCTAGGTTGTCAATCTTCATGAACCCATCAGTGTTTGTGTGTGTTTTTATTAGAGTCCTGGAAAGTTTTTTTTACCTAGTCCAATGGTATGATCTCCAAAGTTACCAGAAACCTGTACTCAAAAGTACTTGTCAGGGTACTTTACATGACTTTCCTTGAGGGAGAAGCAAGTCTTGAACTGTAACTAATTACAAGCTGCTTTTTAAAAAGAATCAAAGTAAAACAATACTTGACTGTGGGTGACAGATGACTTGGAAAAATGATAGTTAAAGACGCAATTGACAAGGAAATTTGTTTTTTTGTGTGACATACAACAATTTAACATAATACTTATGACTTATAGCAAGATATAGCAGAATTTTAGGAATTTTGTAACATTTTGGAACACATTAATAACACCTTTATTCAAATAGAACTCAAAGAAAGTTGCCGGGTTCACGCCTATAATCCCAGCATTTGGGGAGGCTGAGGCAGGCAGAGCACCTGAGGTCAGGAGTTTGAGGCCAGCCTGACCAACATAGAGAAACACCGTCTCTAATAAAAATGCAAAAAGTAAGCCAGGCACGGTGGTGCATACCTGTAATCCCAGTTACTTAGGAGGCTGAGGCAGGAGAATCACTTGAACCCGGGAGGCAGAGGTTGCAGTAAGCAGAGATGATGCCATTGTACTCCAACCTGGAAAGTTAAACATTATTTCTTATTTGACCATGCGTTCTGTATAATGCTTACATACCAAATAAAACTAATATGCATGCTTGTAATCCCAGCTACTCAGGAGGCTAAGGCAGGAGCATCGCTTGAACCCAGGAGGTGGAGGTTGTGGTGAGCCAAGATCACGCCATTGCACTCCAGCCCGGGCAACAAGAGCAAAACTCCATCTCAAAAAAAAAAAAAAATTCCTTTCAAATATCTTATGATCATATTTTAGCTGAGACAAACAGCTGATATCCATGGCTTTTGAGCTTTTTTTTTTTTTTTTAACCAAAGGTACTCTCCCAAGTGACTCATCAAAACCAATAAGCCTTAACCAAAGTTATAGACTTAACAAGGACACACAGGCATCTTCAAAGAGGCACAAAGCAGTCCTTACAACACCCAGAACCACCCCAAAGACAGTTAAAAGAAAGGAAATCAAAGCTGTCCATGGAAGGGGGAAAGATTAATAACAAATGAGTACCCCAGAAAGTCAAAAGTCGGCTGGGTGCGGTGGCTCACGCCTGTAATCCCAGCACTTTGGGAGGTCAAGGCAGGCAGATCATGAGGTCAAGAGTTCGAGACCAGCTTGGTCAACATGGTGAAACCCTGTCTCTACTAAAAATACAAAAAATAAAAAATTAGCTGGGCATAGTTGCGTGTGCCTATAATCCCAGCTACTCTGGAGGCTGAGGCAGGAGAATTGCTTAAATCCAGGAGACAGAGGTTGCAGTGAGTCAAGATCATGCCACTGTACTCCAGCCTGGTGACAGAACAAGACTCCATCTTGGGGGGAAAAAAAAAAAAAGAAAGTCAAAAGTCACACAAATATCAAACCAAAAGGGACTGGTTCCTCTACTGGGAATTGAACTCAGGCCATGGTAGTGAAACTACAGAATTTTAAGTAGTTTCCAAGATGGCGCAGTCTTCATTGTGAATCCTGCAGGGATCCAAAGCAAGCGGTTTGAGCATACAAAGGGTTTTAACTTGTTATAAGTCAGGTTTTTGCTTTTTAATTTTGTGAAGAGGGTTTCTAAGGCTAGCCACAACACTATTATGTCTTTCCTTCAACTTTCCCACAAATACAACAAATACAAATAAGGCATTTGTTTAGAATAAGAAAACTCTAAATTTTTTTTTTTTTTTTTTTTTTTTTTTAAGGATCTTTCTAATTTAAAGGATTCATCTTTTGGCTACTGACAATCAGAATTTCCAATGATGTATTTATTTCAGTAGCAACTCAATCCAATAAGCCTCTTCATGGAAAGCCCAAAAGGCAATTTCCCAGATTTAGAGAGGACACAAAAGAGATAGATCCAATGATGCCCCCAAAATTCACTCCCAGGAATAGGCAAAGATAGCAAAAGACTCTTGTTGCCAGAGACAGTTAAGGATGGTGTTTATACATACAGTCCCTCCAGTAACCCACAGATTTGTACAGGGCTGCCGGTCACAGACTCATTAACCTGTGACACAGGGTAGGCCCTGCTGGGATTGGACTTTCTGAGGACTGACCAGGCAACAAGGATCAAGACAACAATAGCCCTTTATAGATGGGACTGAGGAGAGTGAAAATCACCTAGTGACCATTTAACAGGCCCTAGAAACAAAAACTCCTTATCTGAGAAATTTAGAGGGAGCAAAGACCACCTGGCAGCCATTAAACAGGCCATCAGAGGCAAAACTCCTTATCTGGGGAAAATTAGAAGTGTCTAGACTTCCCTGTTATCTAAAGCAGGCATTTGGTTCCAGATTTCTTTTCCCCCCAAAAAATTGTAACTAGAATTTCTATACATCTCTGGAATGCCATGCCGAAACTCATTGTGCAACACTTGCTGACATTAAGGCAACAAAATTACTACAAATGTAATCGTTTATCATGACCTACATGGCCAATATGGTCCAAATTACTGTTATGCCCCCACTTTAAGGTCTATAAATACCCCTAAGTAAAAATCCACCCAGCACGCTCAGTCCTCTCGATGAGGCACCCCACTACACTCTTCTGTAGCGTTCTTGCTAATGAACTTATAAACTTTTGTTGTCCGTCGTGTCCCCGTCTCCCCACCCCCCCACCCCGCCCCCCCGCAAACAGAGTTTCACTCTTGTTGCCCAGGCTAGAGTGCAATGGCACAATCTCAGCTCACTGCAACCTTCGCCTCCCAGGTTCAAGCGATTCTCTTGCCTCAGCCTCCCAAGTAGCCAGGATTATAAGTCTCCCGCCACCATGCCCAGCTAATTTTTTTTTTGGGGGGGAGGTATTTTTAGTAGAGACAGGGTTTCATCATGTTGGCCAAGCTGGTCTTGAACCCCGACCTCAGGTGATCCACCCACCTCAGGCTCCCAAAGTGCTGGGATTACACGTGTGAGCCACTGTGCCTAGCAAACTTCTTTTTTTTTTTTTTTTTTNTTTTTTCCCCGAGACAGAGTCTTGCTCTGTCTCAGTTCACTACACCCTCCACCTCCCAAGTTCAAGCGATTCTCCTGCCTCAGCCTCCTGAGTAGCTGGGACCACAGGCACGTGCCACCACACCTGGCTAATTTTTATATTTCAGTAGTGATAGGGTTTCTCCATGTTGGCCAGGCTGGTCTCAAACTCCTGACCTGAGGTGATCCACCCACCTTGGCCTCCCAAAGTGCTGGCATTACTCGCAAAAGCCATGATGCCCAGCCAAACTTTCCTTTTTCAAACCTATACTGTTGTCAGTAAACTCTTTTTACCAACCCGAAAGTTGACCACTTCCTAATGCGGGGGCTCTGACACCTCACCTGGCAGGGACTTCTTAAGAAAAACTGAGAGCTTGACACATTCTAAAAAAAAACTGTGCTGCTTAAAATCTTACCTGTCTTGGGTTCCCAACCATTTTCAGACTGACCACAGGATGTGACCTGCCAATCACTACCTCTGAATGGCAGAGACCAAGAGAGTGTTCCCGAGGTAGGTGGCAGGACTTGACTCCAGAGGCAGGGCTTGGACAGTTAACCAGGTTGAGGACTAAAACAGGGTTGGGGCAAAAGCAGGTTTCAATCAGATATGCCGGCCACCGTGCCACATCAGCTTACCATTACCATGGTAACACCCAGGAGTTACCACCCCTTTCCATGGCAATGACCGGATGATTACTACTCCTTCTCTAGAAATTTCTGCATAAACCACCCTTTAATCTTCATGCAATCAAAAGTGGGTATAAATGTGACTGCAAAACTGCCCTGAGCTGTTACTCTTTGCCCACAGAGTAGCCCTGCTCTGCAGGAGCAGTCACAGAGCTGTAACGCCACCTGTTCAATAAAGCTGTTTTCTTCTACCCCTGGCTTGTCTTTGAATTCTTTCCTGGGCAAAGCCAAGAACCCTCCCTGGCTAAGCTCCACTTTGGGGTTTGCCTGCCCTGCATCACTCCCACTTGGTCACAACTCAAGCTTTCAAGGAGGGAGAATCTGAACCAGTTTTTATTTCAGGGATCCATAGCAAAGTTTGTCTAACTGGACACATCTGATCAGAGCTGCAAAACTGACTAGCCTGCAGGGCCAGCTCAAACCCTGGGCCTGAGAGGTTTTAGGCCTGTGTTCTACCCTATGACACCCCTCTTTATGACAGAATAACACAGAAAGACAAGGATGAAAGATAACTATTTCTAGGCCGGGTGCGGTGGCTCAAGCCTGTAATCCCAGCACTTT